TTTTGAAATTCTGCTCTTCATGATTAGTAGGTAAATTTTATTATTTTTCATATGTATAAGAACATAATATCGATGAAATGCCATTTTTAGAAAGAATACATTTATATACAATAATATTCTATATAAGGCATTAATTGCTCTTACTCTCATTAATCAATTAACAATTAACAATTAAATAATTGTAATCTGTTTACAATTACTTTTTGCAATTATTTCATTTAATTGTTTTCAGCAATTAATAATTACAAAATATAATTACTAATTGAATTAAGAATTACATTGTAATTGTAATTTGAATTAAAAGAATTACATTGTAATTGTAATTTGTAATTGTGTGTGTGTGTTAATTGACTCATAGTTTTGTACAATTCTGCATGTAGATTCTAATTAGTAAATAGAATACTTATTGGACATTACAATTTATTTTAAACTCATCTATGATATGTAACAAAATACTTTTTAACTTTTTACACGTTTTATAATACGATTTTTTAGATTGAAAGAATGACAAAAATCCAGATCAGTTTTGTAATTCTAAAGATTTTTAGGAGTTTTCTAAAATGCATTAAATTTCAGGACTTAAGAAGTTTTCCAGGATGTATTAAATTCGAGGATTTTAAGGAGTTTTCTAGGATTCAAGGTATTCAAGGATTATAAGACTGTTTTATATTATCATCTTTTAATTTACATAATTTTCATTGCAAGATTTAAATAAATATTGTCAAATAAATATTATCATTGCTAGTATTTAAAGAAACTATTTTTTTTGATCAAATAAAATTTTTTTTAATTAAAATATTTTTTCAGTGTATTTATTTATGACTTTTAAATAAATATAAATTTTTTTTTTCGTTGCATACGTTCTTTTGAATGCATTTATGCTATACTTGGCGTATTTTTTTTATCTTTGTAAGATATTTTTTTATAGAATATTCTTATTTAAAAATTTTTTATCGGGAAATCTGTGAGACAAAAATATATCTATAGCTTATTGAACGCAGCTCTACATCCAGAAGAACGCAAAGCGCATGTCAAACAAATTAGATATCTCCGTTCGGTGTGATTCGATGGCTCTCATAATAGTTACTGTGAATTTTTGTGTGCTTTTAATTCAGATTAATGAAAAATAAAACGCGGAAGATGAACTTTTCCGAAGTCGACCAAAGAATCCATCAGCTGACGACATGC